AAAAAAAAAAAAAAAAAAAAAAGAACAATAATTATATAACCAACAGTTACATTGTAATTTCTATACATGCAATTTCTAAGCTGTTTTTATAAAGAGATTGGAGGTGTGAGAGACTAATAACTAAATCCACAGAAGTTTTTCATCAAAATGTCCGAAGTAGCTTTTGTTGCCATCTACATATGCAGTGTATACATACAGTCCATCTGAGGGCCATGTATTCAGATACCTTAATTTGCTCAATAGTCTGTTTATTTCTCAGTATTCACTGTAAAATGCCTATAGGGCATGCTCAGAAACTATTTTTGTATGCCAGTAACATCCTTTTGTTATTTTAGTCTATTGGCAGTCTATGAGCACCAGCATGTAACTCAGAGGTATTGTATATCAAAAATATTTTATTCAGAGACCAATTTTGATACTTTTACTCATGCTACATAGTAGGGGTGTGCAAAATGAGCCATATTTGATTCAGATTTGGATTCTGCCCGAATTGGGGACAGTGATTCGATTCGTTGATTCAGATTACTGTCCCGATTCGATTCGGCTGAGTCCAAATCTGAAAATTCAATGCTGAGTCAGAGAAGCAGTGATTTGGCCATAGTCACAGCTTTAAATATTTTTTCTATATACCTTGAGGTACCAGGCATGGCTCACGAATACTGAGATAGTGGGGCTGATGGAGTGTCTGACAGGTGGACCACCCTGCATCGCCCCCCCACCCCGGCTTGGTGATTGGCCACAGGGGGGACCCCACGTGCCCCCGCCAGACCCAGGAGGAACCAGTCACTGAGCGGAGGGAGGGGGGAGATGTGGAGTTTCAGGGGCCAAATATCAGCTGAATCGAATAAGTGACCAAAGCTTCGTATAGTACCTTACTATAATTTTTATTTGTACTACACAAATTGTCTTAGGGTAGTCAGCATGGAATTCTACTCAGCATGAACAAGGTCTTCACAGTCTATCTAGGGTATTTAAGTCAATCCAGTCAACAGTTTGAAGCTACCATAAAGACCGTTGCTGTAGGCTTTATGGTAGGGACAGCCAAAACAAACTTTTTATCATTAAATATCTTGAATTGCAATTTTCTGTTAAGGCTCCTATTTGCATGATTTGCTTTCAAAGGAGGACATGGACACCATAACTTAGTCAACTCAAGTTTGAAACTAAATCATGTTTACACAAAGTACACCAAAAATACAATGTGTTTTTTGGGCTTTTCTCATTTTGAATATGCTAGGTGTTCTGTAAACAATGCTAAGGATCAGTGGAAATATATAAATTCATTTTTTTCTTTTTCAATGACACAACCTCTTATAGAAAAATAAATTCCTACAAACTGGGGGAGAAGTACAGTGTGTATGTTGGATATGTTGCAAATATAACTCCACAACACAGCGGATATGGGTGAACAAAAGTAACAAATTCTGGAGACAAAATGAATAATGTTTTAAAATCCATAGCAAAAAGATAGCTTTGGTTTGGGATTGATGGAAAAACTGAGTGTACTTTGGTCTGAGTATTTCAACTGAGGTAAACTCCCATTGAACTCAGAGAGAGTTTTGACTGAGTCGAACTGTCAGATCTAGATTAGTTGCAAGCGCAAAATTATATCTAAAGCAACCAGGAAGTTGTTTTGGAAAAGGTGGCACAATGAGTTAATGCTTTAGATGCACATGTGTAGATGGTGGTCTCAGTTTATATTTGTTTCTCATGGAATAGGAATTTGATAATTATTGGTCTAGATCACCAAGTCCTGCATCATTCAATGCAATTAACAGTTTCTCCTTAAGAACATCTCTGGCAAGAACTGGGCAAGTAGGGGTGTTTGCACATCTTCATTGACGTACATCAGCAGAATCTTGCATAACGCCTGGCTGCCTTCTCTGGGCCTGGCCAGCATCATCAATCTCTTACTTAGATAAGCACTAAAAGCTAACTAATGATTGCTTTACAAAGTTGTGCTTTTAAGCACTTTTTAAACTGCAGCCATAAGACCTGCCTGGATAAAAACATCCTGACAACCAAACATTTCATAGTTCTTCTGTCTAGATAAAAAGTTCTGGCAGTCAAACATTTCATAGTTTGTTACAGTATATGAGAGCCTACCTGACAGTCTTTTTTCCAGGGTTAAGAAACAAAGGGTACTTATGCAGCTCTTCATTCTAACACAACATAAACTCTAAACATCCTTGAATGCAGTAAAAGTTATATCATTAAATAATGCATAAAGGAAGGCTTACTGCTGAAAAAGATATAATGTTCTAGAGTTGTGTCATGCCCTCACTCTGTCCCATCTCTCTATTTGTCTTCAGATGCCAGATGCATATTGTCATGTTTGTGGTAACTCTTTCTGTTTTTAAAGCACAAGTTTCAGAGCTGAACAAATGACAAACTTTATTTCAACAGCTAATGTTGTTTTCCTGTTTCCTATTTGCAGTAGAGCTGCTCCCTCTGCTGAGTTTTCTGTAGACAGGCATCGTCATCTCATGTCCTTCCTTACCATGCTTGGACCCAGCCCTGACTGGAATGTTGGACTCTCAGCTGAAGACCTCTGTACCAAGGATTGCGGCTGGGTTCAGAAAGTTGTTCAGGATCTGATACCATGGGATGCTGGCACTGACAGTGGTGTTACCTATGAGGTATTCGTAATATTTGTAATGCCATGTGAAAACCTCTTTACATTTCTCCAAGCACTTTGCTTACAGGAAAACCACAGATCATTGAAACAGGTATGGATAACATTTATTATCCTTTATTGTGCCTGTTTTCCCACTCTGAGCATAGATGCTTCATAAGGGAAACAGGATGAGCCATAGACATGGAAGAAAATGCAGACGTAGTCAAGCCAGAGTTAGGACTACATGGGCGCATCCAGACAAGTGCAGTCATGCACTACATGGCACTGCAAACATGTTTGCAGTATCACATACTGCACAGTCTGGTGTTCTCTGCACTGTAAGGGTGTACTGCCTGAGCATGCACTGTGCTGGGTTTTTTTGGATATCCAGGGGTAAAAAAAAAAAAAGGGCGAAAAAAACCCCAGAGCAACACACACTCGGCCAGTGCACGCTGCTGAAAAATGGAGCTGGCCCTCCCAGAGCCACGCTCCACTGCCAGCCAGGCTCTGTGTAGAAGAATTGCTATGGTTGGAGCCCCAAGAGGCTCCCAGGACCCCAGGTAAGGCTGCTGGGGCCAGAACTAGGCTAGCCCCAGCTTCCCTTCCCCACCCATGGTAACTTGCTGCATGCCAAAGCATGCATGGGACAGGCATTCCCCAGGTTCAAGAAGAGGAGGCGCAAAGTGAACCACCACTACTTGTCCCCAGAGAGCCAAACATCCACACACATCCACATTCACAGCATCATGGGCGACTGGTGCCTCCCAAGTTGTGGGGGGCACCAGATTGCTGACATAAGGGAGGGTCCCCCAGCAGCCAATCACCAAGCCAGTGGCAAAACCAGAAGTGCACTTTTGCTGGCACTTTCCATTTCATGGCTGGACTTCCAGAGAGTGCACCTGCAGCCACATGCACCCCCTACGTGTTGCCAATGCACAGCGTATTGCCATATTAGCATTCAGAACTTGTTGAGAACCAAATTATGAAGAAAATCTAATTCCTATTTTTCTCTTTCTCTTTCTCTCTGCAAGTATGTATGGTTAAGCAGATGTTTAAGCTGCACCCTAAATAGGGATGCTTTCCTGTATCAGTGCTACATATTAGTTATTAATCATTTAATTTGTCTGAATAGTGCTATTATATGGTGCTTATCTGTGTAATATATGAGCAGATCTGCTTGCTATAAACCCATGCTGGTGGCCCCTTAACATTGTGTTACCCACTGGCCCCCTGCAAATGTAATCCTTTATGTTTTTTTCTAAGGTCTTGCCCAAAATAGAGGTGAGGCTAACTGGCCTATAATTACCCGGGTCCTCCTTTCTCCCCTTCTTGAAAATAGGGACCACATTGGCCCTTTTCCAGTCCTCTGGGACCTGTCCCGAGTGCCATAAGTGCTCAAACAGTTGCACCAGTGGTTTTGCTATGTCATCGGCCAATTCCTTTAGTACGCCTGGGTGAAGATCATCAGGGCCTGCCGACTTAAATACATCCAACCCTTCCATGTGCCCCTTCACTAGGTCAGTGCCAACTGTTGGTGGATTGGTATTACTCTCACTCCAGACTAAATACTCATTGGGAGGTGTATTTGTATCCACGTCCAGGAAAACAGAAACAAAGAAATTATTTAAGAGCTCTGCTTTTTCCATCCTATTAGTTATGAGTTGCCATAGTCCATTCTGTAGGGGCCCTATATTACCCTGTGCCTTCTTCCTGCTCCCTCCATACTTAAAGAAGGACTTTTTGGCATCCTTAATCTTTGTTGCCAACTTGAGTTCTGTATCTGCTTTGGACTTCCTACCTGCTTCCCTGCAAGTGTGAGCCAAGCAGGTATACTTCTCCCTGGTGGCTGCCCCCTGCTTCCACAGCCTGTAGGCCTCTTTTTTCCTTTGCAGGCTCTCTTGGATTTCCCTGCTCAGTTAAGAACGTTTTTTGGCTCTTTTGCCTCCCTTTCCATGTACTAGGATGGTGCCCCTCTGTGCCTGTAGGATCAGTCCCGTGAGGGGTCTCTTCTTGGACTCCCATCCCACAGATGTGATTACCCCTCAATCCCACCCTAACCAATCTCCTGAGCTCATTGAAGTTGGTCTTCCAGAAGTCTAGAACTACTGCCCTACTAGCTGTCTTTCCCACCTTATCAACTGGTGGTCACTATCCCCTAGGTTACCTTGTTCCTGTAGATCCCCCACCAAGTCCTCCCCTGTGGCCAGCACTAAGTCAAGTAAGGCATTTCCCCTAGTGGGGCTGCATACCTCCTGTGTTAGATGCAGGTCCTGTATGCAGGTTAAGATCCTACGTGAACGGGCAGACCTGGCCAACTGCTCTCAGCAGATGTCTGGGTAATTTAAGTCACCCATGACAACTAGGTCTTTTGAGCATACTGCCTTTGAGAGCAATATTTTCTGTGTTTTACAGAAGAGTAGTAATGGCACAGAGGATAAGTCAGAAGTTGCTTGTAGCACAGCAAGGAACAGACCCCAGTTCTTTAGAGTTTCAGCCCAGTGACATCTATTCCACTTTGCCTGGAATCTCCATTAAAACAGTAAATGGGATCCCTCTCCCCACCTTTCAGATGAGTGCCTTTACCTCTGAGTTATATGGCCACCTAGGGCACTTTTACATGTGCTCCAGGGGTGGGGGCCACACTTTAATTACAGCAAAGTAGAAGAGCTTCAAGAAGAGAGAGACTGAACACTCACTCTAATGGTTGGTTTTATCACTCTTGAATTAAAGGACATTATCTTTGTTTTTTAAAGAAAGGTCTCAGGTAGTCATTCCAGCAGAGGGGTGTCAGCTTTAAATCCTGAGAAGAGAGAAACACTTCCCTCAGCCCATAAGTAGGCACCTAGTCCCTTTAGTCAAGACTTAGTGAAGGTTTCTCCTTCATTTCCTTCTGGGTAACATGGGCAGTTCATTGTCCAGCATGTTGGTTTCTGGGTCTCCTGTTCTTAGGCACCTTACTCTTCTCTTGGCACCTAATTTGAGAGTCCAGATTCCATGAGGCAGAGTACCTAGAAGTTAGATGTTGAAACACACAGCATTAAAACAATTAAGGGCTTTTATGAGCAACTCAGTGGGTGTGTTTGCATGTGTAATTAATGCGCATCAATAAACTCCAGAGTTTATTGCTCCAGAGTTTTTTGCTCCTGGGTGCATGTTTGAATGTGCACCTAGGGATGCTTCAACGGTGTCCACATGTTTTGAGAACCTGGTAGGGGCATGAGGGTGCTTCAACATATGGGCTGTCTGCTGGCGAGCCCCTCACTGAAGCACCCTGTGCCCCAGCCAGCCCTGTTACCATATATACGTGCTTCTAAGTACAATAATTTACTGTGCTGCCAAATAGTATTTGTGTCTGATGGAACTATCCAGTGGTGCCATAAATTAGTCCACTGAGCCTTAAGTGCTGTGCATATGTAGATGGTGATGCTCTACTGTGCAGTGGATTAGTCTACTGTGCAGTAAAGTGCACATGTAAATGTGCCCAGTATGTGTTAAATCTGTGTGGTATTAAAGTTAGAACGTGCTCTGAGCAGTTGCACAGTAATGTTTACTACAATCTAAATGATACATCCCAGGCTCTAGTGTGGTGCTAGGGCAGCCCTAGCACTGGTGCTCCTTCAGTGAGGAGAAAAAGCAGGATTGGGCCCCTCACAGGCTGCAGTTCTGTAATCCCAGAAGGTAAATGGGGGGCTGTGAGACTCAGCCCCTCTGCTTACTGTTGCTCCTTACAACTTGAATGGACACCTCATGGGAGCACAAATTCCTTGTATTGTCTTTGTGGAGTGATCCAACAATAGCTGAACACATTTTCACTTAATACGATCTGGAAATACTCCTGCAAAAAGTCGTAACTTGCTTGAATGTGCGGATGCTTATATTTTAAGTGCAGTTAACACATCCTATATGTAATGTGTGTTATGGCCCTAAATCTCGGTTGTTAATCTAGCTAGTAAAGTAAACCTCCAAAGTGAGGAGAGCAGTGGTGGTAAGAAAGACAGGAAATTTGTCATGCTGCAGGAACAGGCTGAGGAAAGTATCCTTAGAGCGACTGGACTTTACTAGCAGAAGAAATATAATCAAGCAGATCCTGAATGAGAACTGTCCTCTTTAATTTTATGCAAGTACTTTATTTTTTGATGTTATATAGTCTTCAGACTTCTCAGGAAATATAAGCCAGCTATTCCCTTCTCTGCATATTCTGTTTCACTGATATGATTGAAAGAACATATGAACAGACAAAAAGCTATAAAAAACAAAACAGAACCCAAAACGTATTTGGCTCCTGGCCAAAAAGAAATGTGATGATATAAAATAGCCTAATTTTCTATTATGTGATATACAGGAAAAAAAAGAGAGATGCCTTTGTTTTTACAGTTCTTCTTCTATGCACCTGGCATTCAAAAGCTAGTTGTATATTCATGTAAAGACTATCTCTGGGCAAGTCAACAATATCACAGGTAAAAGCTGAATGTTTGTTTTTCACAGCCATGACACTTTCAGAAATACAAATAGGTCTGCTAGGGTTTTTACTAAAAAGCTATTCTACGTTCATTTGCATCACTGTTATATTAATGTAACTTCATTCATTCACTAAGTGAATGAGGAAGCAAGCCTTTCTTCTTTGTTACCTAAGCCTGTCATTATTGTGATTTATTTTTAATGAATTTGGCTCTATATACGTTCATAGTTATGGGAATTTATAATTGTTATATGCAGTTAGCTAAATGCAATTAATTGTTAAACAAGTGTTGTAAAAAAAATTTTCAAATAATTTCCCATGACAAAAGTATTAATAATCAAATATTTTGTGCCATTAATTTTCTTCTATTAAAAAGACAATTTTTACATTGCCTGCCAAGTTTATATTAAAACCTCTTCCTTTCTTTGCCCTATGATAAATTACATGATAACACAAAATATTAAGGCAACACTACACAGATTGGTAATTTTCATTAAAGCCAGAGAGCACTGTTTGTATGTTTTCAGTACACAATATCTGAACAATCGATCTAGAGCTGTGTG